GTGACACTTGCAACAGTTCCAGCAGGGTTTGGATGGCAGGAATCTGTCACCTTTTCCATATACTTCTTCAGTCTATCATTTACTTCTTTTTTTTTTATGTTAGCATGAAGGTGAAAAGTCCTAACAGCAAATTCTGAGACATGCACAGTCAAATCTGATCTCCTGAGCTAGTGATTTGTACATCTAAGTAACTTCAGTCTTGTGGAGGCTTAAAAGAAAGATCAAGTTCTAAATATTTTAGATAGCCTTTTTTCCTACTTGCAAATCAATTATAAGAGCAGATAAAATATTAAGAAGAAATACTTTAAAGTCCTCTACACTTGAGTCAGTTTTGGGCTTTTTTCTGTATGTTCCAGCTGCAATGGTTGCATATAAACAAGGAATAAGTTTGCTTTGCTCTGTTAGTAGCTTTTTCAGTGTCAAGTACCAGGTGAGCAGCCAGAATGGCTGTCCTGCTTCTCATCTGATCCTCACCCATCTCTTTTCTAAGTACTATTAAACACCCAGTTACAGCATTTTTGACCACCTGGCCCAGAAAGCTTAAAACTCTCACTCACCTTTAACTGGTATGTCTGCATGTAAAGAGAATCACTTTAAGCCTAAGGCAGGTGATGCTACCTTATTTTTGGTGTTTGGTTTTTTTTAAGTCAGAATATATGCTAAAGATCACTGATGAAAACCATTTGTTGACCAGATATTGCCAGTTAGTTCTTGTTATTAACTGGTCTAATGAAGTGTTAGACACCATTAACAGTTAAAATCCTAATACCTATAACTTCATTTTTTCCAGTAAAGCAGATTTTGCAGCAAGTCCAGTTAACCCTTAATTGTGCTTCCATTTTACTGCACAATGCATCACTGCACTGCTCTGCATTTGCTTTTATGTAGTTGTCTGCTCAGAAGTTGGAGAAAACTCAGTTCTTTCCTGGCACTCTAAGTCTTATTATTTTGACTAAAAATTATACTCTGATTTTTCTAGCATACAATTGCTGGCATATTGCTATAAATGTAGATGACTAGCCTTCCTTCTAATATTTTACAGGCATTTCTAGCTCTGACATAAGATGCTCACTTCATCTGGGTGAAGGATCAAGAAAAACAACAAAACATTGTGGAGGGAATCCAGTACCAATTATATGACTTGTACTGAAATTCATCAAAGTACAAGCAAAAAACAGATTACTGTTACTAAAACACATGCACGGGTGTTAGGAAAGGGAATTAGATATTTTCTCCACAGTGGCCAGAACATGAGCCAGATCATCATCTTATCTATATTGTCTTGCTCCAAAGACACAAGCTCCCAGGCTGAGGAGGGTGTGCTCAGTAGATTTCCCCTAATGTACCCTCATCAGCTCCTGCTGACATTCCCACGCCTCCAACCTCTAAAAAGTATCTAAAAACTGCTGTTGCTGCTCTTGGTCCAATGAACACTCTTGGGTGGTGGAACAAGGGCACATTCTGGATTTTTATCAGCTTAAAAAGTAATTAATCTTAATTCTCTTCTCTCTGAAAAATAGAACTTCTATAGCTTGAGGTAAACAAAGAGCTATCAGCTGTTCTATGGCAAATTAATCTTAAAGAGGGAATCTTCCAAAGAAAATCAATAGCTTATAACCAGCTTCTGTATTGTGTTTGAGCCCTGAAACTCAAACCAGAACCAAAGAGTACTTTCAGCACTGCAAGTTTGCTGCTCTTATGTTTTTAGCACAATGTCATCAGTTGAAAAAGTGAAATTTTCACATATGATCAATTTTAATTGTGTGGCTTCACTTTTATGGGACAGTCCAGTAGGGAGTATATTTTTCTTACCTGCATGTAATAGTCTATATCTAAAACATCTTTATTCATTTGTGCTTTTCTAAATTAGTCTGTTCCATGTGAGAAACTTTGAAAATTATGTCTCCTTACATGGTCAATCCTTTTTTTTTTTTTTTAATAACCTAATGAATTTTACCATGGTGCTATGGAAACAGCTATAAACAGCTATAAAATTAATTTGGGTGCAAGAAGGAAAGATACTGCTCTAATGCAGAGAAAGTGACAGGTTTCAGAAGAAAAAAAAAAGCCTGTCTTCATTCAGCAATAGGATCTTTAAGAAATGATAACGCAGAGCAAGGCAAGGGGATCTTTTCAAACAATAGCAAAGCAAGATTTCTCAAGCACACTCTCCAAAATGGTCCATTACCAAACTGAGATGTGATAAGGAGAGGTGGGGTGAGGCAGAGGGATATAGACCTGCAGGAATGGGAAACCTGAAAGGAAAACTGCTTGAAAGCACTGCCAAAGAATGCCTGGGTTCTCAGACAAGTACTTTTATTGTGAAGTCAGTGCAAAACAGGGTGGAGGGGTCATTTATGGATCAAAGGAAATAACTATTCTAACTTGTAATCAGTTCAGGTCTGTTAACTCATTCCCACAAATACCTATTCACTGCCTGCAGTCCGGGTGTGAGTTTTGCAAAGAGTGAATTGTGTCTCTGAGATGCAAAAAGATCTCCAGTGGAGCCAGGACACTATTCTGTGCTGAGGCCAGGTGCACTCACTGTAATTTGACATGTTATGCAGGACCAGAACTACACTGAACAGGACGCTCCTTGCACTGAGTGTGGGAACAATAGCCTATATATGTTCATATATATTTCAGGAGTTTTATTTCCACAAGTCCCATCAGTAAAATGAGTTTGAGTCAGGGCTTCCATGCACAGGAGGAGAATTTGGTCCTTACTTTTACCCATTTCTGCAGTAGGCAGTTTGGCTTGTTCGTGTAATTTAGTTTATCTAATGCATTGTTATTCTGGGACTTCCTATAGAAAATTTTAGTCTAAAGCAGATTCCATCACTTCTTTCCTTGATAATTCACAAGTTAGTTTGGTTGCCACAGTGAACAGTTGTACCTAAAGAGAAAAATGTTACTCAGCCTAAAAATGTCAGTGAATGCATAGACCACAATGTTATCAAAGTTCAGTAGTACCTCAGAGTGGTGACTAATCAGCCTATAACTTCTATGTGCTGTAGAGTAAATGCTGTCATTAATTCTTTACAAGACCTTTAAAAACATTCTGCATCCATCCCCCTTCCTAGCTGTCAGAACTTAGTGGATGAACTTCAGTGGCTACTTTGACATTTTTACTTTTTTGCTCCAGTTTGTCTTGTTTGCTTGCCTTAAAAAAATGCCTACTGTGTGAACTGTAAAAAGGTCAACCAATAGCTTAATCCAGACAGGACAAAAGCAACTGCAATACCACATTTTGGCTTTTGATCCTCACCTTACTTTGTCTGTGAACAGCTAGTTATAAATAGTAAAGCTATGTGCCAACCATCCACTGATGTTACTAATGCAAATACTCTTTCCTTTCAGAATTTCCACTACTCCTTTTTATGTCAATGTCCAAGCACTAAAACAGCATTCCTAGGGGATCCAGAGGGTGGTGGGAGGACAATGCTTAGTGGATTTTTCAGAATATTATATCCAGAATATTTCAGTATATTCAGAATATTTCAGTATACTCAGAAAGCTCATCAGCTCTGATTCTGAGTAATTTACTTATGCAACAAATACATTTTGCTGTCAGAGAAGAGTGTAAGAAACAGAACTGTCTGAATGCTTCTAGAGTGTGAGTGAATCATTTAGTTCTCACTTATCTTAGTCTGAGATAATAATGGCGTAGGTTACATATAAATTGGGATGCTGTTTTCATTCAGACCACTACCAGCACACATGTTGGTGGACAATACATACTTGGATGGCAAAGCAAGGCTGTGTCTTTGTAACTTGACTGTGCACTTCAGATTGTATAAAGGAGATGATCCTGCAAAGAAATCCTGTATTTCATGACTGAAGCACGAGACACAGCATTTGTCTAAAAGACAAAATTGCCAGTGCATGCACTAAACCCCATTTCAGTGTTTTTTTGGGGTGGGTTGTGGTTTTTTCCTGATTACAAACATGGATAGCACACTATAACAACATTTCTTTATAAGTAATATTAGTCTTTGGCCATTTGTACAGTTAAAAAGACTACTAGACACAGATCCAGTTAGTGCTGTCCTTGTTCACACTATCCATGCCCAGAAGTTTCAGTGGGCAGCCTTTAGATTTATGCCAGCACATGGAAGATATGCCTGATTTTTAAATACAACCATCAGGCTGCTGCAATTCTGAAGGTGCCAGAATATTGACCCTACTTTTCTTATCGACACCTGAAAACTAAGATATCTTTAGGCTGAATAAAGCAAACCAGCCTTTCAGATTCTTAGAAGTACTTATTTGCCTCACATCTTTTTTTTTTTTAAAGTGAGGCTACAAATTGCAATATAAATAGTAGTGGTGTCTAATGATCCCAGAAAAATCAAATGCCAATGTTCTGGGCAAGACATTCACATATGCAGAGAGAGAGTTGATCTGTACCTTCATAATTTTAAAGTTCCAGCAAAACATAAAGCTAAAAACCAGAAGAAAAGCTGTAGGAGCTAAGGAGAACCTGGTTAACAGTAACACAAGTGCCTACCTGTAGGAGCTTTTACAACTGACTTTGTAAAATAGAGGCCAAATGAAAAGTTGTATTTGTAAGTTGGTGACTACTCCTTTAAACAGCTCCAAACCCATGTCCCATGTGTTTCTTCAAATATTTCAACCCCTGACTCCTCTGTGTTTGTCTTCAGGCTGAAAAGTACAGATTACTTGATGCCCATGGCAAGTGCTGTTGCAACAGGGAAATGATGTCAACCCCTGCAGTGCAATTCATAACTTGATGTGGTTAAATTCACTTACTGGCAATTTAGAAGGAAACATGCTGGTGCTGTGCCAGTTGGAGCCAGATGGTGACTGAAATTATTAAAATTGTGCATGCTGCAAATCTGTGAAAAATTGCCCTACCCAACATCCTAAGCATAGATGGGATCCTAATACAAACCAATGGGTGTCTAGAGTATTTACAAACAGTGCATGTTATGGTTTGCTACTGTTTAATTGTAATCTTTCCCTTCTTTGCTTCCTAGGTTCAGTTAATCCACTATAACCATGAGCTGTACACAAATGTCACAGAAGCTGCAAAGAGTCCTAATGGGTTGGTGGTAGTTTCCATATTTATGAAAGTGAGTATTCAGCATTATTAACACCTCACATATAGACAATGGGCATCTTTTCCCATGAGCTGTACATCTAGGAATTAGACTCCTTATTATACTACAGCAGTGCCTAGAGGCTCTAATCTGGAATCCAAGGACAGCATCTTCCTAGTAACTGAACACACAATATTTACTCCCAACCATTTTAAATATAATTTAAGGAAAATTAAAAGTGAGAAGGGGGGCTAAATCCTTATATCTTAAACACCACTCATAACATTGAATGGCTATGACAGAAGTTACTAGTTTTTCAAATTTGGTGTTTCTTCATGAAATGTTATTCATTCAATTAAAAGTAAACCTCTCCTACTAGACTGAGGCCCTGGAAAGGAGCATGCTTGCTCTTTGGAGAGGTGCTGGTGTTTCCAAGTCAGCAAAATAAGTTTCCCTCACAATGTTATTTAGAACATCTTAAACTATAAAAACTGGAAGAGTAAAAGCATAAGTCTTAATAACTTACTTTTCACAGCATTGGAAAGACATGAGGCATTGTTAGAAAAATATCTAAGTAATTATTTTCTCTTCCCACAACAGATAAAAAAAATAAATAAAAGCAGAAATAATTTGGAGGAGTGGCAGGAGAGAACAACTGCCTGTGCACATGCACACACAGAACAGAAAGGAAATGTTTGAGAGGTTTTGACACTGTACATTTTCTCTTCTGTAGGTGTCTGAATCATCAAATCCATTTCTAAATCGTATGCTCAACAGAGACACCATAACAAGAATAACGTACAAAAGTAAGTTTCTGTTCATCTCCTCTGTCTAGCAGCTACATGCTTGTAGTAAAATGTAACATTTAGCAATCCAGTGAAATAAGAGGTACTTCATTACGGACAAAAATCACAAAGTTTGTATTGCCAGCAACTCTGCATGATCAACTTGGGAACCTGAAAAACTTAGTAAGGTCATCAGTTCATCAAATGAATTTTGAACTTTAAAGCCTATCTTATGTTTGAACAAGCAATAAATTAATGAAATTACACTTAATCCATATACTGTATTCACACAGAATACTCAGGAGAAACTGCCTGCTGTTAGCAATAAAAGTAACACGCAGAGCAGACTGGATTATATCAAATCAAGTTATGTCAAGATGCTGCATCATTAACCAATGGATTGAGTAGTCACTAATGCTTTCTTTTTGTACAGAAAAGCTATGACATTTTAATTCAACTATTGCTGCATTTAATGCCTATATAAAGAGCTCATTAACATAGCATGTATATTTGTTCTATTCACTTTTGGAAAGCTTTTAACTCCTAACGCTCAATAATTCCATGCTAGTATAGTGAACTTGTAGAAAACTGGAGCTTAAGCATCAGTGAAAATGAAGCTGCGTTAGAGAAAGTCATGAAAAATACAAATATCTGGATGGAACAAATTTAACCTTTTCTGCTGAACATTTTGTTATTGCCTTTGTCAAATAGTCACTTGAATTCCAAGCAGCCGTTAAAGCTAATAAGTTAAATTATACCAAAATTTAACTTTCAGAAAGTACACAGCAAACTGAAGAACTAAGTTTTGTAGGTTTTTTGCTTGTTACTCTGTAAACAATGACTTTGCATTTTTCATAAACTTCATCAATTTTGCTTTTGTTTATGAAAGCTGGGAGAGAGTTGTTCATGATAACTGGTATAAGACTGGCTGTCAGGACACCAGGATTTGGTTCACAACTCTACTAGGATTTGCCTCAATTTACCTCTCTATAAATTAAATACATTGTACTATGTATTCCCCAACAACATAGTGTTACTTGGACAACTTTGCATCTGAAACTCCAGAGATCTCAAATGTCCATTTAACTTCAAAAAAAAGTCACTGAACTTCAGGCTTATAATGGAAAGGTTGGGAGAGATTTCTATACATATCCCTAAGATACAGTCTGATTTATTTCCATGGATTCCCATCTTTTACTCCTCCCTGAAAAAACCAGGATTGTAAAAAGCATAGATTTGAGACCAATGCAAAGTGACAGCACGGGATTTTATCCACCAATTCCTGGACAAGAGAGCACTGAAAAGATTTCAAGTCTTGCCATACAATCAGAATTTGAACAACAGAGCCAATCTAACCCCATTCTGAAGGAGATAGTTCCTTGTTCTCCCCTGTAACACACACCTTTGCTCCCACTGGCATTTCTCTAATTTGACCTCACAGTTAACAAACCTTGTTACATCTTTGGTCCAAAGAAGAGGTGTCTATGATGATAAAAACCCATCATAGCCCCAGAAAAGAAGGCACCAGCGGGGTCCCCCTTCAGGACATTTTTGTCCAGATTTTTCTCTCAGTTTGAAATGTTGTCTTCTCTGCATGGAAGAAGCAGGACATTAGCCCAGTTTTTAAACTGCCTGTCCTGATTCCTTGCAAAAGCACAGCAACACTCTTCTGTACCAGCTTTTTTTCCAGGCTCTTTTGCTCCCAAATCACTTCTTCCTGGCTTCTCTCTGGGGACCAGCCTGACTGCAGCACTGAGGAAAGTGTTTTTCCCTAAGTAGGCACACACAGACCTGTCAGGTCTCTCACACTGAATAAGACAAGACTCCTGCCTTATTTTTTTCCATCTCAGCAGCTGTACCTCGTGCATTTACATGAGTATCACAGCCTTTTTTTTTGTTCTCCTTGGCCCCACATACTACAATGGCCAGCCAGCAGAGAAAAGACTGGACATCTTGTGGTTGCTCAGAGCAGAGATCATGACTATGGCTGTACAGCCCCACAGGACAAGGAGGCACTGGCAGCATCTGTCCCTCATTACATGACTGAGCATGCAACTGTCACCCACACGAGCAGGCAAGCACACCTTCCCAGTGCCACGTACACTGCACTAGGTGGGCACTCCTCCTCCCTGAAGATGACCACATCCTACAACCTTTCATTGGTTGCTTCACTTCTTTAGAAGGAAAATGCCATTCCCACCACACCTAATTTGGTTTTACTACAAGAAATTTCCCATGAAGAGGAACAAACAACATAGGCTGCAAAATCAATGATTAGCAGATCTGTTCTAATTTTTAACCACCGTTATCACTAACAAGTTTATCTGTTAAAATAAATCCTTGGTACCTACAATCCACATCATATTGTGCAGGGCAGTGGGTTACTTACCATGGTAACAAGTATTGACTGGGAATTTTTTGGTGTAAATTGGGAACATGAAAGTGTTATTGAAAGTAATTTTGCAGTTGTCTCGCATGATGGATTATAGCATCATTGCTAAAAAACTAATTTTACCCTTTACATTGTGAGGATTTCTATTCTGCCTTTAGCAGCTGGAGATTTTTAGCTTGTGCTTTAGGGGTCCACTGCTGAAATCAATACTCAGCAGGCTGCTGACAAAGTGACCAGTCCCTGTGTGCTCAATAGGAGCGTGGAGCGAATGGTAAGTGGAGCAGAGGTTCAGAGTCAGGACAGGTAGTAACATAACTGAAGTACTTTTTTAAAGAACAGCAACAAAATTAAGAACTACATGCTGCTGCATGAAATTTCCATGGGCAAAATGCATTAAAAGGAAATTTCCACTCATAAATATCAATGGCTACAGTGAGGTAAACTTGCTTGGAAGTTCCTTTAAATCTGATTTTAGATGCTTTTTTATTGTTATCACAGCCCAAAGAATCCACTGTGAGCTGGTTGCAACAAGTGTTCCTGCAAACAGAATTTAGTCAGAAGATATGTGAATATCTCTAAAGAAAAAAACTGCCTTAATATCCCTCTAAGTGTGACATTTGAGGGAATAATTTAGCTTTCTTTCAAAACTGTTGTCCTACATTAGCTTTCACCCACTATTTGCTTAACATTGGAAAGAACAAACATTTTAGGTTCCCAAAATTCCACGTGAAAATGTGCTTCTCATTCTTCAAAATACTGCCACAGGCTCAGCTAGGCAGAAGGGCTGTAAAATGCAAAGTTTCTCAAATTCAGTCATTAGCTATTTTGTAGATAACGTACAAATTCAGAAAGTATTCAGATTGTGAGTTTAATCTTGAACATGTTTAAGATTCAGATTTCTGCAAATAAGAGACTGTTGTTCCTCAAGTCTCCTTAGACTATATATTTGCAATAGATGCAAGAGAAGATAAGACATTAAAGTGTTGTAGTCTAGTATTATTGTAAACCCACTGGTTCTGTTTCAATCCTAGAATGGGAAACCTTGATCACTAGGTGGGAAAAGCACAGCTGCTCATGGCAAAAACATTGATAACCAAATTCTAGACAATTATAGACAATTATAGACAATTCTATAGTCTTCTCAGGCCTTTCTCATGGAGCCATCTAACTTCTCATGGGAATATAACACATACAGGCATGAATAAATGCTGCTTTTACTTGGTCAAACTCTTATTTCATTCAGTCCAATCTCCTCTTTTTCCTGAAGTGGTTTCCTCCAGTTTCCCATTAATCACAACCGATAGATTTTGACACATAATTTACTTTCTGTCCTTAAACATATTCCAAGTGAAGATAGAGGCAATGAACCAGGTTTGGAGTCACTCCACTGCTGGGTGCTGGTAGGGGAGATGGGCACACATTTTGTAGGTCCTCAGTAGGTAAAGAAGAAAACCTAGCAGTTGATCTGAAGCTCAGCAGGGCTAAGGAGAGCATTTCTCCTGATCTCAAGAACACTGGGGTATGTTGGGCTTGCCCACATTGTTACATGCCACAATCCACCCCTGGAGTGTGATGATGTTCTGAGAATGACTAAACACTGCAAAGCCACAGTCAAGTCAGAAGACCTTATCAATGTAATGAATTACAGTGTCTTTTAAAGTGGTGCAAGACAACTCCAAAATCTCCATTGCTACCTGCACTAATGCCAGCAGTTATTGTTTCTGTATATTCTGTTAAGTAGTACTGTTAATAACTTGTTCTGAATGCAAATTAGCCAACTAGCAAGTGGCACACTCAAAATATATATGTTTATAATCAATATCCCTCATCCATATTAATCTTAATTAGCTTTCCATCTCCTAGTAAATATTTCAGGGAAAATTCTACCTTGTTCAAATCGTTTTAGCTCAAAGTCAACATGGATGTGACAAAACAGATTTGATCCTTAGAGCTTGAAACTATCTAACTGTACCATTCGGAGCTAACACACTGCTCTCCATGGCTCATAAATAATGAACAGGATGTTCATGTGGGAAAGGGAAAAATGTGATGACTTACTGAAAACAGGCACTGACTTGAAAGAAGTACATACATTCTCTCCTCATGTAATCCTAGCAATGTTACTGCTGCACTGCAAATAGTGGGTTTAGTGACTAGGACACAGGTATATTCAGACAGCTCTAGCTGTTAACATTTAACAGCATTTTGGCTCCATTACTATAGCAATGGTTTTGCACTTTCATCTGGAAAATGTTGGGTTAAGACTCTATATTCCAGGCCATGGGCCAGTGAAGGATGAACATGTTAAAAAAGGTGACAGTCAGCTACCTACAAGACACTACCAGGACTTTCCCCTCTATTTGAGGAGCCAGCAATATGGCATGGCAATTACCCTGCGCAAAGTGCAAGAACAAGAACAAGAACATGGCAGGAGGCTGCACTTCCAACAAACCTGAAAGGACATGCAAGTTTATATTTTGTAAAATAACAAACATTTAACATATGAAGTAACTGTGAGGCACTGGTCAATGTGGTGTAAATGTTACATTCTCACCCTGACACTTTAACTGATGCTGTAGTCACTAATACTGCTACCCCAGAAGCCTGAAGGAAGTTAACTGCACTATGTCAAAATAAAATAAATAAATAAAAAGGTCATATTTGCTCTGTGTTCTTTGATTTTCTGTTGCCCAAGACAGTAGCCTCAAGTCCCTTTTTTTTCATTAGAATATAAGACAAGCATTTTGCTCATCTGAGTTTTGTCCTTCAGCTACAATACATTAAATTACTCTTTTTTTTTTAGTTCTTATACACTTCATACTTCTTTCTGTGGTTCCATTTGCTATCTTTTCCCAATGGCCAAGGAACTGTTTATCAGCTTTCAAAATAAAAACACCCACAAAACCAAAACCTGTTTACACTTACAGTGACTAGTACATGAAAAACATCAGAATCCAAGCAAAATGCTTAAATTATTTATTCAAAGATGCAATGTCAACGTTTTTCTTTAGTCTGAGAAGTTTCTATTTTATTTATACTAGCTTCCTTTCCTCCTTTTAAAATCAATGCCAGTTCCTCTTGTGTATTGAAAAAGGAAACATGCCTCAATACTCAGCTTGTTTTACCCACATTTCAGCAGTCAGCCTGCAAATGGGCCCCAGTGAACACACTACCTGCCAGTAAAGCATGCAGAGATCCCACAACATGACAGCTCATAACCAGCTCAGCTTTTTCCAAGATAAAGACCAGCAGTAGTATATCAGAAGCAAAGTGTCCCTGAGCATTTCCTATTAAGAAACTCCTATAGCCTAAGATTTGGCAGAAAAATTTGAGCTCCAGTTTTGACAGCACTGCCAAAAATATTGTAGGGCCGGCATTACACAAGGAAAATAATGCACGTAGTATAGAACAGGCTGAGGAACTTTGATGAATTTTAAAAGATATATCCATATCATTATATTTTGGTATATGTCCCCAGAGTAATTTCTGTTTCAGAGAGATACCTCATTAATTCCCAGGGAGACTTAAGATAAAAGCAGGGACCCTAGTAAGCTGCTTTTCTGCATAGTTTTCCACCCCAATTTTAGCATTCTGAGTGAGCTTTCAGTGCATTCACCCCCACTGTGCACATGAAAGGCCAGCAGGCTTCACTGAGCAGCTTTATTATCATGCATTAACCTTATCTTCCTCCTGTGGTAGAAGGACAATTAACTTTTAACACTCTTGGCCTTCCCAACACTTTGTTGATCAAAAATTGTTAATCACTCCAAAATACGGTAAGTTGACCTTCTCCCAAGATTGCTGCATCTAAACCAATAACTGCACCTCAAGGAAGCTTTTAACTCCAGTTCTTAAATGAGGTTCAGAGTTTCTTTGTGAATACTTGTGCTGAACTGACAGTGTGCATGGGCACCTAAGAGCAGAACTCAACCCAAGCAGGATTAGTGAATTGGTGTTACTAGTTCTTGTTGAAACTACTGGAGCATTAAAAAATGTACATTCATTACACTTCATATTTTGGTAAAACTGATTATGATGTTCTGGAATGAGGATTTTACATTAAAAGGGTGGCATATTTTTTGTGAAGCTATTGTTTTATCTCAACTGTTTTCCTTCCTCAATGTCCAGATGATGCATACTTACTACAGGGGCTTAATATTGAGGAACTTTATCCAGAGACCTCTAGTTTCATTACGTATGATGGGTCAATGACAATTCCACCCTGCTATGAAACAGCAAGCTGGATAATAATGAACAAACCTGTCTACATAACAAGGATGCAGGTAAAACTAATTTTAAGATTACTTGATCTAGTATAGGTACAAAAGAATATTTTAAACATATCTATTTGTAGCTTTACATACAAGATCAGTCAACATTCAGCTGTAGGGACCTCTACCTGAAATTCTTACAGTTTGCAGAAACACTGAAGACTTCTTTTGCCAAAATATAAATATTAACTATTTAGAGCTCTCTAAGTATCTATACACATAGGTACTTTGAGGTGGGCCCTATTTTTAGTGAGAGTTTCAATCAATGGTTTCCAGTAAACTACTCCAAATTACATTATTCAATGATTCTGTGAATAGGTACTTGGGGATTCTAAAACAAACACAGCAGTATTGTACAAAAATAACAGGTATTAAGTATAATAGAGGAACAGTCAAATGGAAAGTGACACTTGTAGCCATTTAAATACACACCAGTAGCACCTTAATGTGACAGAAATCCAAGATATAGGGCCTTCTTGAAAAACATCAGCAAGTGCTTTTTGGTATGGAATGAGAGGGCAGACATTGCAAATATCTCCAGAAAATTCAGGCTGAAAAACTGAAGTCCTTTTTAGGAAGGAGCAGGATAAATTATACAAAAATAAACAATTTCTTAGTCAAAGTTATGCTGTTGAAGACACAACAGTGAGAAAGCCAAAATTTCTGTACAATGCACTTACAATCCAAGGCCTAACAGCAGAAAACAACTTTAACACCACGTGCAGGCTTCTCCAGAGCATCCAGTGAGTTGCCTACAGAGCTGTGAACTAATCTAAAACCTATTCTCTTGCATAGCAGAATCCCAAAGGAATACTGGAACCATCATCTTCCTGTCCCAAGCATGCAGCAGAGCAATCTGGCCTGAGAAATGATAAAACAACCCTGAATATTTCTTTGGGATTTAAAAATCCTATTAACATTGTAGATACGATTACTTTAAAAAGCCCAAGAGATGTTTTATCTTTGTTATATTCCTTATGTCCAATTTTGCCTAGATGCAGAGAAATCAATTTCTTTCTTTTCTAAATGTGTAATTTGGGAGCATGACACAGCTGAGCACAGGCAGACATGCTGTACATTCCCAAGTTTTCAAACAGGGGACCTGAACATTTGCCTACAAACAGTATTTTTTGTTATGACATTAACATAGAAAACAAGGATTAGAATATTTTTTGAGTCTATGCGAGTATCTATGGGTTATAATCTCATGATACTCAGTTCTCATCATGCTTTACTGATTAGTTACATCCTCCACTATTAGTGCTGCAAATTGATTTCATGGAATACTTATTAATTACATTGTGTACTCAGACTGAAAAAATAAAGCATAAGTTTTCACTTGGAAGCTGTTAAAGATCTTCAGTATGTAAAACCCAGCTATTGGATTTCCCTATTTAAACCTTATATGCCACAAACTCCAATTGTTCACTCATATGGGAATTATTTTTTTTCTTTACATTTTTAAACCAAAATATTTTTGGTGATTTTTGATTTACAAATTGTACTTTTTTTTTTCCTCTCTCTCTAGTTTCCTATAGAAAGTTTGAAAGTTTTTGGTTGACTTAAACCAATTAACATGCTTTTAGCACAGTTACACAGTTGTGACAAAAAAACCATTTCAGTCTGCTTGTAGTTTGCATCCAACCACTGCTGGGTGCAGTGAAAATCCTGGATGATTCACTGATTCCCTCTCTGCTGATCCATAAAACCATCTCAAAAGGACAGAGTCTACCAGAAGAACACTGTAGATACAGCACAGATTGTATCAAGACAGACCTGTCAATGAAGAAAGGATTCAATTTTTTATCATTAAAGTCATGACTTCAGCAGCATGACAGCCAGTTATCCTTTCCATCCTGACTGCCCATGCCTGGTTCTTGAGTACTACCATCCAAAACTGTATCTTCTCAACTAGAAGCTACAGTCAAGCTGTAAACTAGCTCTTTGTAATTAACTGTAAATTAGCTAAGTTGAGCTTTGGAAATCAGGTCTTGTCATTCCTCAGGTTTTCTGTGCACCAGCTACTGCCATCCAGTACTCCAGATTCCATTTGTTTCCTGAGCAGCCAAGAACACCTCATACCATTTTCATTTACCCTACACAAAACTAGTTACTTTGGTTTAAATTGGGGCTCAGAAACAGAAGAGCACAGAAGGAACCATTTTAACTCTTTCAACTCACTTCTGACTACAAATCACTGAAAGTCCTCTTAACTTTCATTTATTAAGTAGTCTATTTAATAGCATTTTATGTTGTTTACTTACAGGAAAGACCAGTACTAAAAATCCTTGGTTTTGTCTTTTGTATAGATGCATTCTTTACGACTGCTAAGCCAGAATCAGCCATCACAGATATTTCTGAGCATGAGCGACAATTTCAGACCAGTCCAGCCTCTCAACAATCGATGTATCCGAACTAATATCAACTTTAGTTTACAGGGAAAAGATTGTCCAAACAATAGAGCACAGAAACTACAGTATAGAGGTACGTTCTACCTCCAGATTCATCCTTTCTATGCTTACACTGAGTTCTTTTCTTTGAGAAACCCAAGTGCCTAACAGCACACAAATGAAAACAGATGACTGAGTTGCAATACTTGAAAAAATTATTTTCCAGAAAGAGAAGGAAGTTGAACCTTCTAGCTTTTAACTGCCTAATGCAGTCTTAAATCCAGCAAGTTTCATATTTGGAGTTTATTAAAGCATAATTGTGTTTTTTCTCTCTTTCAGTAAATGAATGGCTCCTCAAGTAACAGAGAGCAGACAGAACCCATAACCTCAGTGGAATGCGACTACTGTGACTTGACATAATCTAGAATGCACCCAATCTCACTCTCTGGGTTTGTGACAGCACATGCAAATGTGCTGTAGGAAAAGAGCTGCCATGTTGGAAACAACTAAAAATTCATTCATTTGATTGTTGGTAATTTAAAAAAGTAAAAAGACAGTAATACAGTTAATGTGATTACAATTTTGATACAGTTTTCCTGAACTAATTTAGCTTCACAAAGAAAGACTTTTCAGCCTTTGTACATATGAAATTCTTCCTCTTTTCCCCCCCTTCCTCAAATAAAAAAATAAAAAAACAGAAAAAAAGGTGGCTCGGTACAGCATCAAAGTGGAGTTGTGTTCTGTGTGCCAAGTAATCCTTGGAAAGCTCTCATTACTTCACTATCATTAATGGATACAAGACAGAACAAGAAGCCGATAGAGAAAATTTATTTCTAGGTTATGAACTTTCTGTTCATTTAATTTAAAAAAGGGAGAGACTTTGAGAGATATGTATTGTAAATATGTCACAGCAGAATATAAAAGAAATTGAAACATTTCCCTCTTTGTCACATATCTGTAGTAGGATTTGCCAAAATCAGAATGGATCCATTTTCTGTTTCTTGTTTTACAACAGATCATACGTTGTGTTGGTTAATATTAACAACTCAATAAATGTGTTTAACAAATTAATTTAGTAAACTTGCTTTGACTTATTTTTTCCTTTCTGAAATAACAAGCCTCTTCTGCTTGTGGCTGCAATATTTATGGGGGCTTTTTTTCTTCTCTTCTTTTCTACTTTTACTTCATATATTTGCTTGCAGTCAGTTTAAGTGAGTTAATGGCAATTGGGAACAAACTTAAAGCTAGTATAACTAACTCCACTTTATGGTCCATTATTAATAGCAGCTGGACTCAGAGCAGAAAGTGATTGAAACATTTCAGTTTAAAATTGCCATTTTCCCTGCTGAATCTATTACTGGGACATACAAATCCAATCATGTGGATTGATGGTGGCAAAGGATATCTTTTCTTTACAGACAAAGCAGGAGCTGACCAAGTAAAAGTAAATGTCTTTTTCTTATGTTTATAATGGTCATTCACTGGTTTTGGTTATTGCCAAGAACTCAATAAATGTGTTTAACAAGTTCACATGGTGCACGTTTGACCTTCTTACACATTAAAAGATGTTTTGGTTAGTTTTTTCTAATCTGGAGGGAGGCAGATCTCATGCTATTCTAATGCTTACTTTATAAGCCATAAGATGCTGAAGTTAACAGAAAATAAGGAGAAGCTAGAAACTACCACGCCTGAAGAATTAATTGTTTCTACCAAATGGAAAAACTCCAACAAGTGTGAGGGAGCTGAACCACTGTAAAGAAGCTACAGATGCTGCAGGCCAACTAGCTTTAACATGACACACAGTAAGTATTTCGTCTCTGGCTGAAGACAACAGTGTAGTGGCATCACACTCTGGATTCTATGATGCAGACAGTGGTTTGGAAAGACTGCAGCTTGTATGACTTCCATCCGTGACATGAAGAGGAAAGCTACTGGGAAAGTGAAAACACACATGGGCTGGAACTCAGGAGACTCTCAAAGCAGGCACCTGGATGTAGATGGAAACCTGTAAGGAACCCAAATTAGTCAAGAATTCAGTGGCTGAGCAGAAGGTGCAGAGAAATGAGTAGTGAAGGAGAAGAGGTTGGCCTAGATGGGCTGTGACACCATGTTGCTGTATTTGTAGGAGGGTTCTGGGCTGATGATCCTACAAACACGTATGTAGTATCTCATCCTTGATTTATTTCATTTTGAGCATTTAAAATGACTTGCACATTGCAGCTCAACACCACACAGCAACCTGAAACAATCCACGGTGCACAGAAGTGTCACACACTGACTATTGCACTGCAGCTCTAGGCAACGCACTAAAGGCTTCTCCCACAGAATCACAATATTGCCATAAAAATGAGTTGGCAAGTCCTAATATTAAATGTTGCTGGGTTTGACCTATTTCAGCTGCCATTAAAAATGTAAAATAATTAGAAGAGCTGCTACATCTATTTATTAGTGAAGACAGCTGGAAAGCAAGATATGATTGCACTCAAAACACCAAAGCCAGAAAGCAAATAAAACCTCTCCAAAATGTAAGGTATTCCTCATGACCTTTAATATTAAGGAGGAGGAATGTTTATTTTTCTTTTTTTCTTTATCAGGGTTGACAATATTGAAATCCCATCACAACCTAGTAATAAAACTACAACTTAATTTAGTCGTTGCTTTCAGGGCCTGAACTTTCCCTGAAAGTCAAGAACTGAAAGGAAAACTGTAACTGGTCCATATAATTTATTGCAAATAACAGAAATGCAGCAAAAAGGCAGATGATTTTCATGTTGTGCTGTACATCTCAATGCTTTAGTGCTGGATACTACCCAAAAAATCCTAGATGTTTGGCTCTTCTACTTAAAACAGTATCAATTTTGCAGGGAGATCAGCCATAACTGTTCCATGTTTTGATTTTTTTCATTAGATTTTATTCCCTAGATATAGTGGCTGACAAAGCATAGAGAGTTTGCTGTAAGAAATGCTGATTTACTAGCAAAAGCCTTACTGTAGCTCTCAACAGCACACCATAATATTATTCAAGGAGCCTGTTTGCACAGTAAAGAACAAGACCCATTTATAATGTGAAACACAACGCAGGCAAACATTTTCTGTTTCTTAAAGCATCAGGCTTCTACTCTAATAACTAAAGATGTGTCGAACACACACTCAGAGCAGAAAATGAAAAACGGGGTAATAAATCTTCTAAGGATGAGAAAATAACCCTTAGTATTAAAGTAGAGAAAAAAAAAAACTTAGAAGATGTATTAGAAAAATAGAAAGAAGAAAAAATCTACAGTTTATGAACTGAGTTGGATGCTCCCATCCTGTAGGGAAGAAAGAGCTAAAGTCAAAAGTAAATCCAGGTAGAAGAGAGTTACAGCTGCAAAATACTAGTCATCCCACAGATACAGGTTAAGGCTATTTGTGAACATGTGTCTAGGGCTCTGCCAAGAAATCCCAGTCTGCCAGATACACCTCATGCTTTGCTTCCTGCCCTGCTGCACACCCAGGCTTCAGTTGTGACAACTTGGTGCTTAATCTATGCAAAGTTAATAATGTCCAAAAGCCACAGCAGAGCTCACTATTATGTGACAATGACGGTAGGATTAGCTGAGGAAAAAAACAGGTCAATCCAAAGACAAATCATGAAGAAGGATTTAATAGCGAGCCAATGCAAATCTGATGGTTGCACCCTGATGTCTTACAAGTATTCATAGAATGGGTTGCTGACAGTGCCTCATCTCCTAACTTCTCCCAGCTGCCAGGATTCAGAACACTCCACCTTTTTAGATAGTTCAGGGTTTATTCCTGCTATTTTTGTTCTACCTTACTAGTGTTTCCCCAGGGAGGAAAGTTAGGACTACCTGAGAAATTCAGCTCCTTGTGCAACTGTTGAGTCAAACTTAAAGATTTATTTAAACACCTCACTTTTCTAAGAGTCCTTGGGCTGCAGTCACATAGTTTTAGCTGAACAAAATCCTTTGTGTTAAACCTGTTGGCATGCTCAACTATGAGATAACGGAAAGAAGAGGAAAAGGATGAAGCCAGGAACTGAATGAGAAGATTAAGCGTGAAAAAACAACAAAAACCACACAGGAAATGTGACACTTGGTTGTACAATGACCAAGTCCCCATACTCTGGTAGCTCAGCCAGCTCTTCAGTTTATTAGTGTATTTTTCATACTCTTCTATTCCCATGTACTTTCCATACAGAAAGAAAATTATTCCCAGGGCAGGAATATATTTTCCCACCAATAATTTAGAGCCAGGTTTTCTCATCCTCTAAGGAGTAGTCTAAGGAGTAGTCCTATTTTTTTAAAATAAAGCATTTTATTTTTAAATAAAGCATTGTAACTGCTCATAAAGCAGTTACAGCAGTCTCTAGATTTCCATGGCACATGTAAACAGTGGCTACCTTCAAGCAAAAAGTAAACTGCAAGCTCAATGCACTAAGCAAGAATTCATATAATCACATGGCAAGCTACCAGCCAGCCCTTCTGACTGGCATTCAGAGTTGTTATCTTTTCCTATTTCACAGGAGGCTCATCTGCACAGACCAATGCCTGAGGCTGCAATCCTGAAAGGAAGCAAGTCTCCAGCAGGCTGATGGCTTGGCCCACAGCACATCAAACACCTGATATATGGATGTGCTGCAGTGAGTCACTGTGGTGCTGCACTGCAAATCAAGCAGAACAGCAGAGATCACACCCATGGCTAGAATCAGGGCACTAGGCACCCATGGCATGCCTTTGGCTTCCCTGGCTCCATGCCTCAGTAAACCATGTTAGTTTTCAGCACATAACATTCAGCATCAGCTAGATCAGAGAGCAGAATATATAAGCTAGTTACTACCAGCCTGTCCTACTGCCCACACCTAAAATAAGTCTTTGGAACCAGCAAATCCACTTGTCCGTCCTTAACTCTGTCAGTGTCTGTGTACACAAAGCAATATTGGTTGCCACCACAGAGTGCTTCTGCAGAGCTACAGATTACATATTTTATTTTGAGATACAATTTTCATTCACAGGCTGTGCACACAACCATGTAAACAAAAGACTTGGGAAATTTGGGGCCTACTTCAAGTTTAGAGAAGTTGTACTCAGCA